TTAATGTATATAATTTTTTTTTTTTTTGAAGAGTCGTTGACTGTAACTATTTCTTTTTTTCCTTATAATTTTATTAACTGTAACTGTTTCTTGGAACATCGTTGACGTGGCGTACTGAATCGCGTACACGTGGCGACTATATCGACCTTTGAATAACAGTGAGTCATAGAACAGTCCACATGGTTGTACTAATTTTACGAAAATGCCATTCTGCACTTTCCTTTTCACTAAGAAACGTAACAAATGGAAAGTGCTGCAACATGATTTAAACAAGATACGTAACAAATGGAAAGTCCTATAATATCATTTAACAAGATTAATTTTTGTTTTAGTTAATTAATTAATTTTAATTTATAAAATATTATATCATACTCAAAATTAATACGTCATACTCCTAAACCTTCAATTATCTTATGTACATATTTAAATATTTTTCTTTTACTGATTAAAAAATATTATTTAAGCTGACTTTAATCCTCCAAGTTGCAATTAAATTTGATACAATCAAAATGATTTGACAATGACATAATACTTTTTTTATTCATATAAAATGGTGCCATGTTATTCTATATTAATACATTATGATAATAATAACTATCAACATATCTTAATCAAAGATATTTGACTACACAACTTAATAATTACAATGACAACATAATAACAGCTGCCTAATATGAAAAGAATGAGATTCAATGTATAATTAAAACTTCTATAAGATGTGATAAGAAATTAAAAAAAGTGGCAAATCCTCCATGTGTATATGAAGTGCCCTATTTTGTCTTAATCCATTGTTTTTCATAGCCTCACATTACAAAAAACTTAAATTTGTTGTCCTTATCCGTTAATTCTATCTTCTGTCTCGTTATTTTGGGATAGGGAATGGCGCCTTCATATGTCAATGTCTATGTTGTTATAGTTTGTTCTTCAATCCAAAATATATTGAAGAAAAATAACACGACAAAATTATGAAAGAACTAGCAAAATATAAAAAGAATACATCTAGTAAGTAGTTTTGTAGTTTAGATTAGAGGAAAACTCTCATTTCATTCAATTTGTTTCATTTTCGTTGTCTCTTTGAAAGTTATCTTCAAAAACATTTTTTTACTAAAGAAATTTTGAATAGCTGACAATTTTAAATGAATTAGACTATCAAAACGAACTTTATAATTTTACCAATTAGAAATACAATATATGACAATCCTTATTTATGTAAGATTGTTAGAGTTTTTAAAATTGAAACAATATTAGAACAAACTCACATAAAGATAGTGTGAAATTCTATTTGGTGTTTTGCGTTGGTAATCGAGTCTCCTCTCAACTTCAGGACTCTCAGATCTCAATAAATATGTTTCGTACTTTCCATTTTTAAAAGTGTAAAAAAGTGAAATTTTTTTTTTTTGAACTTGGCTACTTCATTTGAATTCCTCTTTCATATTCTAAGAAACGGGATACATCATTTTTTGGGGAACTTGACCACTTCATTTTAATGGGAAATTCACACAAAATAACAGAATAATATAATAGGATTATGGAGGTAATTTTAGTCAATTTAAATTAAGTTAGAATATTATTTAATAATTTTTATTTAAAGTATTATTGAATTAGACTCTCTTTATATTTTAGACTTTTAATTTATAATCCATAGTAAGCATTATATATGTAGTGTCTTTGACACATTTGAGGATCATCAAGAATCAAATGAAAAAGTTATTTTATCTTTCTTTACTTTATTTAGTCAATTTAATGTTTTTCCCTCTTTTAGTGTAGAAACATTAATTTCATAGTTTTGATAGGAAGCTTTCAATCAAAATATGCAGTGGATATAGAATTTCCCACACCTGTAAGAACCTTGAGGATCAACAACAAATATAAGACGACAAGCCGAACAAATAAAGATACAAAAGAACGATGATATTTTTAACGTGAAACACCCCTCAATGGGAGAGTAAAACTCACGAGTCGTTCAGACCAAAGAAATAGCTCTACTATAATCAATTAAGAGTACAAAAAAGTCTTAAAGTGATTCACAAAATGGTGATAACAACTGCAAATCACAAAGCAAACTAGCTTACAAATAAGAACAAAAGAGCTGAAAAATTATCCAAATTTCCAGCTTTAGTGCAAAGCAATTATCTCTAAGCTCGGAGTTCTTTTTGAAGTTCCAAACAGTCAAAAGTTAGATATAGGTTTTGCGAACCTACCCTCCAAATTTGAGCTTGATCCGATGGCTAACGAATCGGGGGTCAACGATTTAGTGAGACTAATGCAGAAAAAACGGAAATGAGTTTCTCTCTTTTCTCTCTTTTGAATCCTAATTTTCTCTTTATTTCACTTAACCCTAAATTGAAACTATCCACTTAAATTAGTGAGACAAATGGGCTATTCATATTTGGGTCTTTCTCCACATAGGAATAAAGCTTCAAACTTCCCTCTTGTAATGCTTTAGTCATCTTATCAGAACCATTATCATTTGTATGAACTTTAGCTAACTCCAACAACTTATCATCCAAAACATCACATATACAATGATATCTCACATCAATGTGTTTGGATCTATTATGAAATTCGGATTCTTACCAAGATGAATAGCGCTTTGACTATCAACAAATAACACATGTTTGTCTTGAACATAACTAATCTCCTGCAAAAAAATTCTTCAACCATAGTAACTTTTTGCATGCTTCAGTAATGACATTGAACTCAACCTCTGTAGTAGACAATGCTACACACTTTTGTAATGTAGACTTCCAAGTCACAACTCCCCTGCAAATTTAATCATGTAGTCTGAATGTTAATGTTAGAAATATTTTTCCCTATAATAATCATATCATCAATATATAACAACAAGACAATAAAGTCATCATTAAAAAAAATTCTATCAAAGATGCAATGATTTAAATTAGTCTTCTAGTATCTTTGATCACACATGACAGACTCAAACTTCTTGTACCATTTCCTTGGAGCTTACTTCAACCCATATAGACTCTTTCTCAATCTACAAACATGATCTTCTTTGTCTTTAACTTGAAAAGCATCAGGT